AAAACTTGGGTCTTTGTAGATAACAATTATGAGATGTTTAACTTGAAAACTGCACATTTCTAAGTGCCAACATTCATAAATTAAAATACCCTTTAAAATTAACTTGGAAGTTTTTTTGTTGTATTAATTGTTCTAATTGACCAGGCTCCATCAAATGCCACAATTTGGTCGCTGTAGGAAGTATGTCCAGCCTTAAATTACCTACACTGATCAATATCTGCTGCTCGGTGGAATCCAGGACTTGAGTGCAAGCTCAGAATGGCAGCCAAGAGCAGAGCAGTGACATTTGCTGGCAATGGCAATGGACAATGGGGACTATAAAGATAGGAACAGAGCCAGGAACAGGAAATAGGGCTTGTGTGGGAGGATGAAGGCGTGGAAGAGGTACTGGGGACAGGGGCAGAAATGGAAGGAAGGTCAAGAGCTTCAGATATTTACTATTCACACTCATAGAGTCATAGTGATAGAGTCATAGGTCATACAACGCGGAAACAGACCCTTCTATCCAACTAGTCCACGCCGAACATAATCCCAAACTAAACAAGTCCCACCTGCTTGCTCCTGGCCCATATCCCTCTAAACATTTCTTATTCATGTACTTATCCAAATATCTTTTAAACGTTTTTAAACATTCCTACTTAGTTATTTTGCTGAACCATCATTCTGTGGAAGATTGTGCATTACAGGTGTATTATTTTCACTTATTTAATTTTTCATTTAACATTTTGTATCTACACGCGTTGTAAGTACTGCATCAAATTAACCCTAATCATGTCTAAGCAACGGTCTACTTCAACATCTCTGATTGTCGTTAATTTTGAGATTAAGTTTAATGTGCTTCAGCATTTTGATCAAGGTGACTGGATGATTGATATTGCTAATTCCACACTTCTGCCAGATGTGTTGTCACAGTGTGACTCTGTTATAATCAGGAGAGGATGGGCAGGATAGCTTTCAGCTGGTCCCACTCCACATTTTAGCACAAAAGGTTTTTAAAGAAGGATATGTTTGCTTATTGAATGTTCAACTGTTTACATGCTGTGACTTTAAAAAGCACACATGGTATTCAAGCATTCTTTAAATACTTATGAAAGAAAAGTGAATAATTTTTCTTGTGATTAACCCGGTTGAAGTAAAATAATAAAACCACCTTAATTTTCACATATTTTTGAATTATGGAATTCTCTGACACACTCATGTTAAGTTACAGAGTGTGAGGGTAGATTAAGCGATTTTTGAGACCGGGAGTGTTAATGGGACATATGGATTTTGAAGGTTGGCGCCATGCTGAACTCACCCATCCCTCTGGGCTTGCAATCAAGGCAGTGAAGGTATCGATAGCTGAATTATCTCTTTTCCCGGAGACATTAGATGCTGGATTGTTAGGTTGATTCTTTCCTTTCTGACTGTGGCGCATCGATAGTCCAGCAGGAGACATGACTCACAACTTTCAAGTTGGATGGAGAGACAGAAAAAGGGAGGGTCCCTCTCGAGGGTCTTGCTTCAGGGTCTTGATTGCTTCTGCTTGTCAACAGTGAAAGCAGTTGCTTATCTACAAAAGGGGATAACTGGCTGTTGACATGATCTCTTCAATTGCTCTGCAACACAAATGTAAGAACACAAGAAATAGGAGTAGGCCATTCTGCACCTCAAGCCTACCTGTTGCTGAAATAGCCCAGGCCTCAACACCTTTTGCAAGCCAGCTCAGCATAGCTATCAACTCCCTGATGTTTGAAAAATCTATCTACCTCTATACTTTAAAATACTTTCAGTGATCTAGTCCCTGCAATTCTCGGGGCTGTAGAATTCCAGACGTTCGGTATCCTCTGAGAGAAGAAATTTCTTCACATCTCAATATTAAACGAGTGCCCACCCTTTCCCTCCCCTCCCCCCCATTCCATAACTATGCCCCCAGGTTTGAGATGCTCCCATTACTGTCTAATAACCTTAATGAGTGCCTTTTGAAAATTCAAATAGCACTGCATTTAAGGCGGCGCAGTGGCTCAGTGGTTCTCACAGCACCAGACTTCGATTCCAGCCTTAGGCGACTGTCTGTGTGGAGTTTGCATGTTCTCCCCGTGTCTGTGTCGGTTTCCTCAGGGTGCTCCGGTTTCCTCCCGCTGACCTAAAATGTGCAGGTGAGGTGGATTGGCCATGCTAAATTGCCCATAGTGCTGGATGGATTGGTCATGGGAAATGCAGGGTAACAGGGATAAGGTTTGGGTGGGATGCTCTTCAGACGGTTGGTGTGGACCTGATGGGCCAAATGGCCTGCTTCTACACTGTAGGGAATCTAAGGGGGACGACCTGTGTTGGCTTGGAAGGAAGGAGAGATTAAATGACAAAAGGGGTGATGGTTCGTGGCAAACAGGAACAAAAATGAGATGGGTATAGACTGGCTGTAAATGACAAAGGCAGGTTCGTATAAAAATTCATTAGCTGTGCAGAGAAAGTAGCATTTTGCTTAAAGTATGGGGCACCTTGCAAATACTATCCTGAGGTTGATGGTTAATTAAGCTATTGTTGGATCTGATATGCAGGTAAAGAAAGCATGAATTTGCATTTTTAGAGTCCCTTTTGTGAGCTAAGAAAGGCTTTGAAAGCATTTTATTGCCATGAACAATTTACAAATTGTAGTTAATATTGTAAGGAAGGGTTGTACACCTGTGATTTTGCACAGGGCAAGATCTCACAATCAGTCAAGAGATAAAACAGGTATTTATTCTTATTGTAGCATTTGAGGGAAAAGTGTTGGGAACTTTATGAGAAATTTTCTTTCTTACAAAAGTGCGGAGATTTTTTACCAGGACGTAGATGGGCTCTTGGTTTAATGTCTCCCTTCATTGTGTGTGCCCTTCATTGTCATTTAAATGCCTGTCTAAATTACACGCTCAAAAATCTGCAGTGGACCCACAGCTTTCTGATTCTGAGGTGAGAGTGTTACCATGGAGCGATGGCTGACAGTTTTTATAAAATAAAGTAAGTGCATCACAGAACTAAATCAGTGCAGCACCAGGTCAAATAGTGATTGTGTGAAAATATGGCTAGACACTTGCATATTTCAAATAAAGCACTAGAAAGGGACAATTATGCGAAGGATTCACAAAACTCTGGCCATCGTTTTTAATGCTGGCACAGGAACAGAACCTGGTATCTCTTCAGTCAGTAGAAGATGGTTTTAAATTGAAATTATACAAATGCAAGCAAAACATCATGTAATTATAATACAAAATTGTCATTCATGAATGTATAAGGAAGAATTAAAGCTTATTTTCATCCTTCCCAGTAGCCTGGTTAGAGGTTATGACTTGCTAAAATGGATTGATGTATCATGGTGAATTCCACACAGAGATGAAGACAATGCATGCACCCATCAAAATTCAGTTTTCTGCTTTTGAGTGTGTGCCTAATAATCATAAAACTCAGCAAATGTTTGACTGTTCTTTAATTTTCAATCTTTACAATTTCTTTTTTCCTTTATTCATTCATGTCTTGAGGGCATCAGTGGCTAGACAGTATTTATTGCCCATCCCTAATGGATCAGTTAAGAGTCAACCACATTGCTGTGGGTCTGGAGTCACTTAGTCCAGACCAGGTAAGGATGGCAGTTTGCTTCCCACAGGGACATCAGCGAGCCAGATTGTTTTTTTTTCCCTGACAATGAACAATGGATTCATGATCATCATTAGAATCTTACTTTGAGACTAAAAAAAAAATTGAATTCACTTGCCACCATTGTCCACAGTAGGACTTGAACCCAGGTCCCCAGACCATTGCCTGGGTCTCCTGATTAGCAATCCTAGTGATAGGACCATTAGACCACTGCCTCCCCATATTAAGCATTTGCAATATTATTAAAGTTATTTTTAGAGCTCATTCCTTTGCCTGGGCTACAGTCTCCGGGTTCTGGTTTTATTCTGGGCACACAGCTGCACAGAAAAAGCACATGGCTTATTAAGTTTTTTCATTGAGAATCTAAAATCATCACTTACAAACTCGCAAAGGCCATCAAGTGGCCTTCCCAGCGCAACAGTCCATCCTGGGTCATTGATCTGCTGAATAAGTCTTCTTCGTGACTTCAGCAGTTGATGAGGCCACTCCTCCCTGATGATCATACTATTCCTCTGAGCTGCTGATATTTGTCTGTGTGAAGTATGTCACTCATATCAATGCTCACCCCACCCCACCACAGCCAAGGAGTCTAAAATTAAGGGGCATAGGATTAAGGTGAGAGGGGAGAGATTTAAAAGGGACCCACGGGGCAACATTTTCATGCAGAGAGTAGTGCATGTATGGAACGAGCTATCAGAGGAAGTGGTGGAGGTGGGTTCAATTACAATATTGAAAAGACATTTGGACAGGTACATGGATAGGAAAGAATTTGAGGGATTTGGGCTAAATGCAGGCAGTGGTAAGGATTCTGGGTAATCCAAGATAGGGGATGGGAAAAAATTGTGTCTGTAAGAGCTGCTCCTTTTTTGAGGTATTTTCAGTGTTGGAGCTGATTTCCTCATGTTCAAGGTGCAGTAATTACTGTTTTATAAGCTGTTGCGTTGTTTTGGAACTTTGGGAAAAGAAACGATGGGACTGCTTCAGTTTGGGAAATCTGGTTGATGTGGACGAGTTGCACTGAAGGCTCTGTTTCCGTGCTGTGTGACTTTATGACTAAGTAAGAAATGGGTTGATCTGATTTCCACATGATAATGATAAATTGGAGGCGAATTTCTTTGGGGATTCTCTAGGTCTTTTGTGGCATAAGTTATGTTAATAATATTTTTTCTTCAATTTTTCTGGCTTTTCTGCTAATTGTACTGGAGAACAGCAGGGAAATGTTAATATATTTACTTACTAAGTTTTTATTGAAAAGCAAAATAGATCTGATTGGATGGAAGTGATTTATTAGCTTTTTAAAAATTAACTTGGGTGGACAAAGGATCCTTTAATAAAGGTTTTTAATGCTGCTGAGAATCATTCTTATTTTAATTTCTGTTTTGTTTCAGGGCTCCAATATAACAGATTCATGCACTGAAATGCTGATGCAAGGAATTTTATTGAAAATTTCAGCTGGGAACATCCAGGAACGAGTTTTTTTCCTCTTTGATAACTTGCTGGTCTACTGCAAAAAGAAGCATAGGTAAGTGTTGTTGCTTCTGGGGTGGCATGGTGGCTCAGTGGTTAGCACTGCTGTCTCATAGCTCCAACAGACCCAGGTTTGATTCCACCCTTGGGTGACTGCCTGTGTCAAGTTTACACATTCTCCCCATGTTTGTGTGGGTTTCTGCTGGGTTCTCTGGTTCCCTCCCACAGTCCAAAAATGTGCAGGTTAGGTGGATTGACCATGTTGAATTGCTCATAATGCCCAGGGATGTGTGCTCAGGTGAAAAAGCCATGGGAAATGCAAGGTTACAGGGATGGGATGGGGGATGGGGGATGGGTCTGGGTGGGATGCTGTTTGAAGGATTGGTGTGGTCTCAGTGGGCTGAATGGCCTGCTTCCACAGTGTAGGGATTCTATAATTCCAATCTGCAACTGCTTTGAAGTGCACTATGCTTCACATGCAATTCCTAATTCAAGAATGACTGTTCTGTGAGAGTAAGATTTGCTGGATTACCAGCTGAAATGGTCTACTGTAGCGGAAGACCTTGCTGAAAGGTAAGTTCCTAAAAGAAGGACAGAACAGGCAACAGGGCTGAGGTCTGGTTGAAGGAGAAATGAGTGACCTTGGAGTCAGGAGAGTTTGAATTCACCTTTAGGCTCTCTGGGAGTATGAAGGTGGAGTAGGTGGCAGGCTTAATCTCTAATTTCATTGTGAAATTTATGAGGACCTTAAGAACCACCTTCACTTGGGTTGTAATCGTGCTGTTTCATTCTCTGACATCATAGAACAAAAACCTTGAAAAATCTTCTCTTCAACCTTTTGTTTGGTGAAGATGTTAAATTTGAGCCCATTAATTGCCAACTCACTGAGCAGTAACTTCTGCAATTAGTTGATTAGAAACAGTGCTCATCACTCTGAACAGTTTAGATAGCCTCCATTTGATAGAAGCAGTCATTGGGGATGACCTTTGTTTCCATCGGGTATATCACACGGGTATGTTGAGAAGATGGCATGGCACATGTGCTGACCATTCGAGGGTGGGGGGCAGACTCAATGCAGCTTCCTCTAACCGGGTAGTTTAGAGAACAGAGGTCAATCAGAGGATGATAGCTACCTCTGATTTTTCCTGCCTGGAACTGGAGCAGTGGTAGCCCAGGTGGGAATGGGCCCTTAAATGGTTACTACTTGAACATTTGAGGGCCTCAGTTGGTGGCAGACTTTGAACCTTCCCACCCAGATTTCTTTCTGGTAGTGGGAGGAAGCTGCTGGGGTTCTGGGATGTCACCACCCTACCTCATTATGTTACCTTGCTAATTCCGTATACACTACTTCCAGGACTGAAAGATTCCATCCATAGTTTCACTTGTCACTCTTTACAGCCAAAACATAATTTTAACTGTTCTGAAATCTTTTGTAAGCTAGACCTTGCAAGATTTAATACCCAGATTGACCTCTCGAAATGCATCATTTACTCGTTTAGCTTGAAATTCTACTCATCCTGCATCACAAATTGAATCTGTCATACAATGTTAAATCTGAATGTAGCAACAAAATAACAATGTGACATTTTTCTCATCAGATGACAATTTTCTGGAATATTGATCAGTAAATAAGTTAAGGTTTCTATGCCAGTGAAGACTTACATTGAGAAAATGAATGTGATGAAATATAACATGGGTAAATGTGGGATTCTACACTTTGACAGCAAAAACAGGAAGGCAGATTATTGTTTGAATGGTCCTTGAATTTAATTTTCTTAGTAACTTGTCTCAACCTCAGACTTTTCACTTTGTCATCTTCCATGGGTGTCAGGCATTGCTCAGTTGCACTGTCTCTGAGTCTGAAAGTTGTAAGCCCAGAGACTTGAATACAAGACCTAGGCTGACAATCCAGTGCAGTATAGAGGCGGAAGTATATTCATGATCAATGCTTTACTAGAAAGCAGTATCATTTATGAGATGTTAAATGGAAGGACCTATATACTGCCACAGCATCACACAAACCCTATGGTATGGAAGCAGGCCATTTGGCCCATCAAGTCCACATCAACCCTCTGAAGAGGATCCCACCCAGACCTAGACCCTCCATCCTATCCCTGTAACCCTGCAATTCCCATGGTTAACCCACCTAGCCAGCACATCCCAGGACACTTCAGCATGGCCAATCCATCTAACCTGCTCAACTTTGGACTGTGGGGGGAAACCGCAGCACATGGAGGAAACTCACAAGGACACAGGAAGAATGTGCAAACTCCAGACAGTCAGTCACCCAAGGCTGGACCCTAACCCTAACCCTAACCCTAACCCTAACCCTAACCCTAACCCTAACCCTAACCCTATTGAACCCTGGTCCCTGGCACTGTGTTAATATGACTGAAATTCACTGAATAAAAAATCTTAGTTTCTGACCTAAATGAACAATTGTCCTTGTTACTTAACTTCTAGGCGATTAAAAAATACCACACACCCTAAAAAAGTGGCTGATGGACATCGGTATCTTTTTCGTGGCAGAATTAATACAGAGGTCATGGAAGTGGAAAATGTGGATGATGGAACAGGTATTTCATTTTCAAATTGACCAAACGAAAACTTATTATTAGTGAGATGGATTCCAAGTGTTCATAAGTATAAAGAAGATGCCTTTTGTGGGTAAATCAACCAAAAATGACATAGTTCATTCTACACAGTAAATATATAAATTTCAAATGTAATAGTAAATAATTTCTGGTTAATCAGTTTATATCACATACAGTACCAGTGGGATTGGGCATTACAGATAAACTGCAATATTGTTCATGATTTTAAAAACCAAAGGAACTGCTGATGCTGTAATTCAGAAACACAAGCAGAAATTGCTGGAAAAGCTCAGGAGGTCTGGCAGTATCTGTGGACAGAAATCAGAGTTAACGTTTCGGGTTGCGTGACCCTTCCTCAAAACTGCTGGTAGCTAGGAAAATGTCGGTTTATATGCAGAAGATAGGGTCGGGGAAAGGGATGAGGAGTAAATGATAGGTGGGGATAGATGTTTCCTAGTCAGATCGTTATCCACTCCCTTGTCTGTCCAACTGTTCTCTTCTCTCTCTTTGGGCTCTATCCCTCTAGTTTTGTACTCCCCTACCATGGGAAAACAATAAATCACTGGTCCTTTTAAATTATATGTTAATGACCTGCAAATAATAACAGTATAATTTAAAAGTTTGCAGATAATATGAAATTCAGAAATACAGTAACACCAACAAAGACAAACATAAATTGATGTACCTTTTGGTAGGAAGGTTAGAAAGAGCAAAATACTCAAAATATTGCAAGGGATTTGATGTTCATATGCACTTTTAGATTTTGAAAAGATACAGTACAATTAAAATCAAGATGATTTTGAAGGACTGTTAATGATTTTGCTTTCTTGCTGAACATAAAATCCAGGTTAGTCATCATTGACCTCCAACAAAATATTAGAAAGATAAATTTCATGGCAGCATTCAGAGATAGGAGAAGAAAAGGGACTTAGTATTTCGTTCTTTGGCATAAAGCGGTGTTCTCTGTATATTCAGCGTATTGGATCTAGCAGGTGGTCAACATACTTTGCTAATGGTTTCATAGTTCATTCTTAACATAGCAATTTATTGATGCTCCATCAACCTCACAAACATTTGTGGATCAGTAGCAGAGATCCAAAGTTGAAATATTTTGGTAATGATGTGATGACAAGGAGATTTCTAATTTCAGCACTTCTTATGCTGACCCAATGTTATTTATTCATAAAATTTGCCATGACGGGGACATCCAAAATGATTGGTGTGTGCCCTGTCTACAAGTAAATGTTGTAGTCTTTAACTGCAATATACAGTTGTTTTCTGATCTAATTAAATTGTAACTACCCTTCTATATTTTAAGATGGAGAGGAAAGAGACTCCAGCTAACTATAGATTGGTCAGTCTGAGGCCAGTTGTATAGACATTACCAGACATTGCCTGAAAACTTAAACAAATATGAACTGATTAAAAGAGAGCCAATGTGGATCAGTGATGGGAGTAATTTAGTTGACAATTTTAAGGATTATTTTGGGCTTTCGACTATTTTAAGCATGATTTTGGGCTTGTATTGTGCTTATAAAAAGAGATGTGGCGCTGTGGGTTTGACTGCCCAAAGTGTGAATTAGTAAACTAAAATAAAAAAAGAACTGTTTCCATCAAATAAGTGCACTATTAAGACAAACATCTTAAAATTCAGACCAATAATCATGAACAAAATGATGATTTTGTTTTGCAAAATCAACAGTTTCCAAATATAATCTGCAATAGCTATCCAACTTGGGGAAGTTAAATTAGTCAAAAAAGTGAAAAGTGACTGATGAGAATAAACAGCTCAGATGTCATCAACTTCAAGGTTCATGTAATTTTGTATAGAGCTGGACTTTTGGATCTGATAATGTGTAAATAGATGCATTAGTTAGATTTTAATTTTCATATTGATGTTGACCAGCATTATATACTCTAATGTATAATGGGCAGAGTAATCTTTATTTTTATTCTCTCGTGGGAAATGGGGATCATTGGGTGAGCATTTATTTTCCATCCCAAGTTGCCCTTAAGAAGGTATTGGTGAACTTTCTTTTTGAACTGCTGCAGTCCAACCTATTCGGTGTATGATTTATTCAAGGTGATTCAGGCACTCACCTTTAGTATTGTTTCACATGCATCCTATTTTGCAATCTGAACAAATGAATTAAGCCTTTCCAAATCCTTTTTTTTTTAATATTGCTCATGTTCAGTGTTGCATCTCTCGTAGCTTGACGTAAGGTTGTGGGTGCTCCAAGAAGTATCACAATATCATACTTCTCAAAGTGTTTGTGGTATTTCACAAATTGCTCCTTTCAGGGTGTTCTACACCATGGCTAAGACCATTGATTGCAAACACTGTAACATTCTCAAACTGCAACCAACATCAGAAACCCTGAATCATGCCACTGTCATGTTGAGACTTGGCTGTTTCATCACTCCTTCCTGTCTACACTCCTGCATTTTAAAATTCTCAAATTTGAGATTATTGATAGCTCTGTTGTCTACATCCTTCCTCACACCCAAGTTCTGCTCAATTATCATCCCTGTGCACCTAATCTGGTCTGGTTCCCTGTCAAGGATTGCCTCAATTTTGAAATTCTCATCCTTGATTTCAAATCCTTCCATGACCTTTCCCTCTGTATTCTCCTGTAGTTATGGACTATAGACCTCTGAAATTATCCTCATTTAGTTCTGGACTCCTGAAGATTTATTATATAAATTGCTCCACTATTTGTGTACGTGGCTTCTGCTGTCTAAGTCCAATCTCCAGAATTTCTTCCCTGAAACTCTCAGCCTTTCTATCTTGCATTCTTTATTTTATGATGCTCCTTAAAACCTTCTTCTCTGATCTAGGGCTTACTTTTTAAATTCAGTTGTGGGATCTGGATATCTCTGGCTGGCCAGCATTTATTACCCATCCTTAGTTGACCTTGAGAAGGGGGTGGTGAGCTGTTTTCTTGAACCACTGCAGTCCATGTGATAGAGATAGGCTCACAATGCTGCACGTGGCTATTGTTTTTTGCCAGTGCTTGGGTCAATGCAGTTGTTACAGCTGAGTGGTTTGCTGGGCTATTTCAGAGGGCAGCTGAGAGTCAACTACATTGCTGTGGGTCTGGAGTCACATGTAGGCCAGACCAGGTAAGGATGGCAGTTTCCTTCCCTGAAGGACATCAGTGAACCAGATGGGTTTTGCCTGACAATCAACAATGGTTTCATGGTCATCGTGGGTATTTATTTAATTCAAATTCCACCATCTACCATGGCAGGATTCCAACCTGGATCGCCAGAATATTAGCTGGGTTTCTGGATTCATAGTCTAGTGATAATATCAATAGGCCACAGCTCCCCTCACTTTGCTATCTGACCAGATATCTCCAGTTGTCTAATTTTGCTTTGTAAACTTCTTGCAGAATGCGTTGGAATGTTTTATTCTCTCACATATGCAATAAAAATATATTTGTTGTGGTTTTACAATAGATTGGTGTTGATAAGCATAACTAGAATTGTGTTTTATTCCAGCGGATTATCACAGCAGCGGTCATACAGTTATCAACGGTTGGAAAATACACAATACTGCCAAAAACAAGTGGTTTGTCTGCATGGCAAAAACATCAGAGGACAAGCAGGAATGGCTGGAGGCCTTTCTAAAGGAACGAGAACGAAGAAAGAGTAAGATACCATGATTTATGCATTTTGCTTATCTCAGCCATTGAGAAAAATGAAGTTATAGTAGTGTTGACCTCCACTTGCAAAAATGTCACCATCATTTTATTAGCTGGTTTGCAACAAAGGCTGCAATGTGTGGAAGAATTTCTTGGATTAACAATATTTTATGCAAACCTGGGGTTTTTAGTATTTAGAGCCTTGACCAATATAACTTGGATATTTTCTCATTAGTTTTGATGGGAACATAATGTCTCAATTTATTTACCTAACCACAGTGAAAAACTTTGTTTGTGAGCCGTACAGGCAGATCATAGTAAGCAAGGACATGCAGATCACTGAGTGAGGCATACAGGTTACACTGCACAGGAGGTGCACAAAGCAAGATCAACATTATTTGAAGTTAGAGAGTCCATTCATCAGTCTAATAACAGCAGGGAAGAAGCTGTTCTTGAACCTGTTGGCGTGTATGTTCAACCTTCTGTATCTTTTGCCTGACTGAAGGGGTTGTTGGAGGTCATTACCAAAGTGGAAAGGGTCTTTGATGTTGGCAGGCTTTCTGCAGCAACGAGAAGTATAAGTGGAGTCCACGGATGGAAGGTTGGCTTCCGTGATGGTCTGGGCTTTGCACGCCACCTTCTGTAGTTTCTCACCGTCCTGTGCAGTGCAGTTGCCGTCCCAAGCTGTTCTGCACCCAGACAGTATGCTGTCTGTGGTGTATCTGTAAAAAGTTGGTGAGGTTCCTTATGGACATTCTGAATTTCCTAAGCTGCTTGAGGAAGAAGAGGTGTTGTTTTGCCTCCTTGACCATCGTATCTAAGTGGGAAGTCCAGGACAGATTGTCAGTTATTGTCATTCCTAGGAACTTGATGCTCTTATTTTGTTATTCTGTTATTTCACAAATCCATGCTCTGGTGTTATTTTTGTGTGTGTTATAGAGATTGTGCACTTTGTGACTGTAAATATTTCTGCTTACAACAACAAATTGGGCCATTGATTTGTATTTTTAAATAATAGTAACATACAAGTATTTTTAAGAATCAAGATTGATTAAACCCCGTTCTTATAAACAGATCAATGGTTTGCCTCAGGTGGGTTAAAACTGAATTCTTTCTCCAAACAACACGGTCTATGATCCTCTCTTTAAATATAGAAACAGACTCTTCATCCATTCCAACTAGGCTTCCAAAACTGAACTAGTCCCATTTGCCTTTATTTGGCCCATATCCCTCTAAACATTTCTTATCCATCTGTCTGTCCAAATGCCTTTTAAATGTTATAATTGTACCTGCCTCTACCACTTCCTTTGGCAGCTCATTCCACGCATGCACCATCCTCTGTTTGAAAAATTTGCCCTTCAGGTCCCTTTTAAATCTTTCCCTGTCACCTTAAAACCTATGTCCTCTAGTTTTGGACTCCCCTACCTTGGGGAAAAGACCTTGGCTATTCACCTTATGCCCCTCATGATTTTATAAATTTCTGTAAAGTCATCCCTCAGCCTCCTATGCTGGGACAAAAGTCCCAGCCTATCAAGCCTCTCTTTATAACTCAAACCCTCCGGTCTCGGTACCATCTTTGTAAATTTTTTTTTTGCACCCTTTCCAGTTTAATAACATCATTCCTATAGCAATAACATTTCAAAAATCCCTATAGCAGCTTAAGGTGACATGGTGGCTTGGAGGCTAGCACTGCTGCCTCACAGCGCCAGGGACCCGGGTTTGAATCCACCCTCGGGTGACTGTTTGTGTGGAGTTTGTACATTCTCCCCGTGTCTGCGTGGGTTTCCTCCTGGTGCTCCAGTTTCCTCCCACAATCCAAAGATGTGCAGGCTAGGGTAGATTGGCCGTGCTAAATTGTCTGTGATGTGTAGGCTAGCTGGATTAGCCAAGGGAAGTGCTGGGTCCCAGGGATAGGGTGGGTGTGGGTGGGATGTTGTTTGGACTGTCAGTGTGAATTTGATGGGCTGAATGGCCTGCTTCTACACTGTAGGTTTTCTATGATAACTGCGAATCATGGTGTAAAACCCTACATAAATTGAAGGCATGTAATTCATGCCTCTTAATGCCAACCAACCTGTGTCAAGGTGCCCAAAGTGGCAACATGCATGAACGCATTACCTGCTGATTCCTGATGTACACCATTTTCTCTGCAGTGGGTCACCAGTTTCCCTAATATTGGCACTCTCCTTAAAGTGGGAGAGTTTCTGATGTTTTGAGGGAGATGGGAAATATTTAGAGGGATATGGGCCAAATACAGGCAAATGGGACTGGTTCAATTTAGGAAATCTGGTTGGGATGGACAAGTTGGGCTGAATGGCCTGATTCCGTGCTATATGACCCTATCACCTGAGTCTTCAACTGTGCCTGAGTCGAATGTTAAGTTTTGAATTGCTTGAATCCCATAACAATAGTAGGTTTTAAAGATGACTCTGGAGATTCTCTTGGGTACCACAGATTTGTTCACATAGCTGCCAGTGTAACACAATAAACACTGATGTGGATTGAGAAAGTGCAAATCTCCAGAAAATTTATTCTTTTAATAGATAAGTAGAAAAGTCACTTAATATAACAGAATACCACTACAGTTTGTAGACAGCAACCTCCTGAATAATATAAGGATGTGATTTCATTTTTGACCAGGTTTGAAGCTCGGTGTGGAGCAAGATACCTGGTTGATGATCTCTGAAAAAGGGGAAAAGCTCTACCATATGCTGTGTAAAGAGGAAAATGTTATCAAGGACAGAAAACGGAAACTCAGCACATTTCCAAAATGTTTCTTGGGCAGGTAGGTTGGTAGGTTCAACATTAATTAACATACTAGCATTTTCTTTGTTCTAAATTTTCGGACAATTTTCTGCATTTCCCTTCTGTTCTGAAATTCTTGAACCTGTTCTTGAGATACAGTGTTTGTAGCATTTAGTGTAGTTGGGGAATCAGACTGATACCTTCATACTGATACCTGAGTCCTGACAGTAAGTCATTGTTAGTGTCATAGCTGAAGTTAAACTACTCCTTACTCAAAACCAATGGCTTGATTAGTAAAGCGATCAAAGGTTATGGGGAGAAGGCAAGAGAATGGGGTTGGAAGCATATCAACCATGATCGAATGGTGGAGCAGACCCGATGGACAGAATGGCCTCATTCTGGTCCTATATCTTTAAGTCTTATGGAAATCCTCTACAGTGGGGATTGGTATTCAGGAACAGGAAATAAGCATGGTTTTTCCTTACTGAGTGCTGGGACAAATTCTACAGTATAACACTACCCTGGCTAAGGTTAGTCGAATGGATTGACTTTTCTGGAGTTTGTACAGCTTATCTATGTCCTGGATCAATAATTTGGTTTCCGTATGAAGGTTCAGCGGTCACTTTGGCTGCCCTTACATCCAAATGGACTAATTATTCCAGTCTTATTGAGTAACATTTACACATAACGCATTAGAAATAACATGGGGATATAGGATAGAATGTTGATTGCCATGTAGGTAAAGGATCTCTGTTCTGAATTGATGTTTTATCTCTGGAGCACAGCTAAAGCACTCCATTTGCATCATGGAAAATCCCTTAGTGTAAACCTTCATGTACAGGTGACTAACCTCTCCGTATTTGGGTGTGCTGAGAATATCAGACAGAAATCTATCTCCAGGCTTACTGTCCAATAATATATTACTGACACTATTCAGTGGATGTATCTTTACACAGAAAGCCCAAAATGAAAATGTATAACCAGAAAATTTCACATAAGATCAATTAGATGGTTCACATCCAAGAGTCTAAAATGAAGTTCTGGAGCCTTCCTGCTATTTAATTTGTTTCGACCCAAACCATTTGTTCAAGATTTTATTATCTGGTTTTGTTGAGAGTGACACAGATTGGTGATTGGAATTTTTTATGAACATAACATTTGTGATGATGCTGTGGCTTAAAGACTTTATTTTTGTCTTTTTTTTGAAGAGAGGTTGTAAGGTGGAGGTCTCGTGCAGTCTTTCAATGCCACGAGAGTAAACTGCTTGTGACACCTTGAGTTTTTTTAAAGTTGGAACAATAGAAGCAGCCTGGATGGGTGTGGCCAGCTCTCCCAGACCAGGATTTCTAGTTTTTAGTTGTTTAGCTTTGAGATTCAGAAGTTGATGTTGTGGGCTTGAAAAAGTGGGAGCTATTTTACCCTGTCTCAACTACAACCAAAAGCTGGATATTGTCTTCCTAGATTGCATGTGAGACAAATCCTGTTTTTCCTGAATTTGCCTTTTCGCCAAAGGCTGTGTTTATAGGATGTTGCTATATTGGAACAGTTAATTAGTAATAGCGACTATATCTGTTATTCTGTTAAGTTTTCTAATAGAGTTAAGTTATTCTAAATTTCTCTTTCTTTTGCTGTATTTTAACTGTAGTTTTTAAATAAATTGCGTTTTGCTTAATGCCTAGTACTTTGACCAGTCGCATTGCATCTGGAGCATAGCACTTTACATTTACCATAAAAATATGAAAATGTTAGGGTCGAGGCTACCTTCTTAAAGGTCCATAATGATTTAACATGCTGTTTTTGACAAAAAGAATAAGACAAGACAGATTGAGTTTTTTCAGGTGCTGTAAGGCATTGATTGTATGGATGTAAATAGATTTATGAACATCGTCTGCATTCAGAAATTGGCTTACAACATTCACAAAACTCTATCATAAATAAATAATTAAAGCAGATTACTTTGATAGCAGGCAGATATGAAAGATATACTTTAATTAAAGATTGACACACTAATCTGTTTTAAAAAAGATCAGGACAAACACTTAGCAAAGCGATTGAAGCTAACTGATATATTGGATATGTACATTAGGTTTCTCTTTCAACCTAACCCAATTGTGCTCCCAAACCGTGTTTCTGGACCCAGTTTATAAAGCAAGCTAGGGTCAACATCACTGTGATGCAGTGTGCTGTTGTTCATGTTCAATTTTGGGGTTTGGCACCACAGTTATAGGTAATTGACCATTTGTAAGAACATGACTGATAGTTTATTCAGTTCAGTCAGAAGCAGCAGTTTAGATTTAATGGAGTAGTTATTGTAAATGATCCCTGACAATTGATGGCTCATTGAAACCAGAAGGTGACCAGGCAGTTTGTAGAGAATGTGTAGATCTTGTAAAGACATGAAGGCAGCATCCAGCGGTCTAGCCAAAGTGTTAAGGAACACTTTATGTGGTCTTCCCTCAATTTCTCCTTGTCCATCGTCGGTCTGAAGGAGAAAGCACCTGATGAGTGCTGCCTCCTAACCAGAACTGCCTCTGTTTCTGAGCGCTTGTTGATAAATCTCAGTTTTGAGGCTGGTAATCTACACTATATCAATCATTTGTTGGAATTCTTCTACCCAGCGAAGATGAGGCAACTCTTTAAAATGTCAGGATAACAGTTGCCTCTTTGCACATTTCATCTGCTGGCTAAGTTCCATTCAGGTTGGGAAAAGGACCTTGAATTTCCTGAACACTGCTCTGACAATGGAATAAATGTAATACCAGATAATTCCTTGATATCAGTTCATTGGATTGTCATGGCCTCATGATCCTTGTGGCCTTTATCATATCTTTCTTTTGTCCTTGTAACAGCAGTTACATGAGATCTTATGCTGTACAGGAAACATGAGAAAATTTCAGTGTTAAAGGGAACTCAATGTCCAACATTAGTGAGTCCTATTGCAGTAAAAGAAAAGAGGAGGACCAGTGTAAAGAGAAAGAAGACCTTAAGAGCCTGAAGACCTTAAGTTTGCTATTATATTGTACCTTGGAACTGCACCGTCTGTCTGCATCCGAGTACCCTCTTCCTGGATCTCCTTGGGTGGAAGAAGAAATGGTAGAAAGCCCACTTCCCATCTGTTGCCAGTGTTTAAATGCAGAGGACATGTGATGGCTGTAAGTGAAATCCCCTATAGGTATGCTATGATGAAATATATAAATAAATTCGAACTAGGTACATGTGGTAGAGTGGTAGATGAAAATCCAGACTCTCCCACAATATTAAACCAAGCTATAGTGTCCTCATTTATCACAGTGTAAGTTTGCAAATTATATAGTTGTCAATCATAAAGTATTTGCGATTGAGAATCCTGTGACAATTAATCACAGTTATGGCAAATTTGGAATTATGGAAATTCTGACAGGTTACAATTTAGAATGACAGTGGCTACAGAGGGACTGTTTTTAAGTAATTTAATTTTGATAAGAACAAGGATTTAAGTCTTATTTCTTTCTTTTATTGCTTTGATACCTCAGTGAATTTGTTGCTTGGTTGCTGGAAATTAAAGAGATCAGTAAACCAGAGGAAGGAGTACACCTTGGTCAGGCACTGCTCGAGAATGGAATCATCCATCATGGTGAGTGACTGTGGGGTTAGTAGTTGTTCTGACTAAATGTATGGAAGGGCATAGAATCATAGAGTTGTGCAGCACGGACGCAGACCCTTTGGTCCAACTCATCCATGCTGACCAGATATCATAAATTAATCTAATCCCATTTGCCAGCATTTGCCCATATCCCTCTAAACCCTTTCTATTCATATACCCAACCAAATGCCTGTTAAAAGTTGTAATTGTACCAGCCTCCACCACTTGCTCTGGCAGCTCATTCTGTGTGAAAACGTTGCCCCTTAGGTCCCTTTTAAATCTTTACCCTCTCACCTTAAACCTATACTCTCTAGTTTTAGACTCCCCTACCTTGGGAAAAAGACCTTGGCTATTCACCCTGTTCATGTTCCTCATAATTTTATAAACTTCTATAAGGTCACCCCTCAGCCTCTGAAATTCTGGGGAAAATAGCAAAACATGAAATAAATTAAATGTGATACAGTACATGAAGTTCCACTACTGATTGTAATCTCAGTTCGTCTGAAGGAGTTAATTTGACAACTGTAGCATCGAGAATAAACAAACAAATTTTCAAATTCCCATCCTTAATTGTTCATTTATTTACAGCAGTGTGCTTGTCTGGATCTACCTTTGAGTTGGAAAATTGGAAACTGATTGGTTCTGTTCAAATTTCCCTCTAGTATTATAATGCTATCTTCCTGTTTTTGAATGTGCAGATATTTCTATTCTCTCCAAGGGTTGGACTGTCCTTCAACGTCACACCCATGTGGAATGGTCTTCAGCCATTAAACTGAGTGAAATGGGCCGGCAATTGATGCCACTTGAAATCCAGCCCCATACAGGAAACTGGATTGTTCATTGGAAATGCAGCTATATCCTCTGGCTCAGTCATTGGACATTTTGCTGCAAGTGAATGGGTGTCATTAAAACTTTCCTCCCCACTCAGCACCTATTGCACCTTCCCGAAATTATTAGCACCACCATCTATGTGGTGGTATAAGCTCAGGAATGGTATTGTTAAGGCAGATTCATCATTGAACAGATTATGTTGATTGCTACAGCCAAAAGCTTGGTTTGATTGATCCATATGATTAATTTTAAGTGTTATACAGCAAGCATAGTTTTTGTTGACTAGAAATATGGATTTTACAATAGGAACTCTTCTAATCTTTAGTTATGGTGTAGAACGTAGAGGGAGATAAAATCATTTCTCCTGGATGCGCAAGGATATTGAGTTGACTCCTGTACCACTGAGAGGGCCTCTTTCTCAATAACTGACTGTCATAGAAAGCCACTGTATCGAAGTATTGTTTCTTCAAACATTCATGGATGATCTTCACGAGTAATCACTTTGCTCAGATCTGGTGCCAGCTACATGGGAAGAAGTTGTTAAAAGGATTTTATTTTACATTATACTGGCCTACAGTGAGATTCAGAGAGTAAAAGAGGATGATAATGTTCTTTGTCTAAGGTATATGGATAAATGATCAGCCTTGGCTGAGGATGTGATTTATGTGGCCTGGTTTTCAACAGTTTTGGTTAAGGAACATTAATCAGATGTGGAGATGGTGGTGAGAATTTTGCATAGATCAAATGATGTGCAAATAGAAAGAAACTAAATTTGCGATGGGTTGCAAACAATCCACATATAATCCACAGTAAACTGTGTTGACAACAACAGTCTGTGGCTCCTAATGTTAGGAAGAGTTTCCACAACCATCAATGCTTTCTGAAGTGACAACAAACAGTGCAGCACACTAACATTTCCATGAACCTGTAGCACCTCACCATTTGTATCTGGCACCACTGGACTGTTAGAAGTTAATGCAAAAATCCCACTATTCTCTTCAGAAACTGACAATGAACCTGTGTTCAGGTTCTCTCCAGTGCTTGAACAAACATTGGCCTTGGCACCCTTTGAGTGTGCAAGAGAGGTGCTGCTGGAATCTGGTTGCCTCACACTTGGTTCTTTCAGGTGCCTTAGGATCCAGAGCAAGTTTCCTAAGCCAGCCATCCCTGAATCTCATTTCACTTTGTGAACATGTGTAGGAATAATAGGTTAGACCATAAGACCATAAGACATAGGAGCAGAAATTAGGCTGTTCGGCCCATCGAGTCTGCTCCACCATTCAATCATGACTGATAAGCTCCTCAACCCCATTCTCAATTGTACTCCCCCCGTTGAGAGCTAGAGCAATTAAGTTTGCTTGTATAAAGGGGAAACTGGGACGTAGAAGCCATTGTTTGTTTGTTTGTTTATTTATTTATTTATATTCATTTGTGGGATGTGGACATCTCTGGCTGGCCAGCATTTATTGCCCATCCCTAGTTGCCCTTGAGAAAGTGGTGGTGATATCCCTTCTTGAACTGCTGCAGTCCACCTGCTGTGAGTTGACCCACAATGCCAGATGGAAGGGAATTCCAGGATTTTGACCCAGCGACACTGGAGGAATGGTGATACATTTCCAAGTCAGGATGGTGAGTCCCCTTGGAGGGGAACTTGGAGGTGGTGGTGTTCCCATGTATCTGCTGCCCTTGTCCTTCTAGATGGAGGTGGTTGTGGGTTTGGAAGGTGTTGTCTGAGGATCTTTGGTGAATTTCTGAAGTGCATCTTGCAGATAGTACACACTGCTATTACTGAGAATTATTAGTGAATGAAAGCAAAACACTGCGGATATGGGAAATCTGAAACAAACACAGCGAAAGCTGCAGAATCTCAGCAGGTCTGACAGCATCTGAGGAGAGAGAAACAGAGTTAATGTTTCAAGTCTGATATGACTCTTCCTTGAAGAAGGGTCAGACCGGACTCCAAATGTTAACTCTGTTTCTCTCTCCACCAATTATTACTGAATGATTTTGCTGCCACCTTTACTTCATATTTTATGTGCAAAGTAATCACAGTTTGACCACTTGGTAGTTCAGAGTTCATTTCTGCTGAAACTTGATTCGTTTTTGGTCATGAATGATTACAAAGGGATGGTAGTTAATCTAAAGGAAGTCGATTGAAGTTGGATAAAAGAGGACTTTAAGGAAAGGAAATTCAGAAAATTTTCTGAAGAAGGGTCTAGGCCTGAAACGTCAGCCTTCCTGCTCCTCTGATGCTGCTTGGCCTGCTGTGTTCATCCAGCTCTACACCTTGTTATCTCTGGTTGACAGAAGACATCCCTGCCTGACTCCCTTGAGTTAGAGTGTTTGTGTTTATCTTTAGTTTCAGTTTACACTACTGGAGGGACTTTGCTGCAAGGTAATTTCAGATGTACAAGCCCTCCTCTTGGGGCAATGTACAATGTAATGACTTGGGTTTGTTATTGTCATTAGACTGCAGGTGTACTTTTTAAATATATTTTAAATATTTTTAAATATGTGGTAAAGAAGGCATATGTGGTAAACAAGGTATATGGCATGCTTGCCCTTAATTGGTTGGGGAACTGAGTACAAGAGCCAGGATGCTTTGTAAGACTTTGGTTAGGCCACACTTAGAGTATAATGTTCCATTCTGGTCGCCACATTACAGGAAGGATGTGGAGGCTTTGGAGAGGGTGCAGAAGAGGTTTACCAGGATGTTGCCTGGATTAGAAGGTATGAGATATAAGTAGAGGTGAGAAAAACTCAGGTTGTTTTCTCTGGAGCAATGGAGGCTGAGGGGAGACTTGACAGAAGTCTATAAAATTATGAGATACATAGATAGGGTTGATGGTCAGAATCTTTTTCCCAGAGTTGAAATGTCTAATACTGGGGGCATACATTTAATGTGAAAGTTCAAAGGAGATATGAGGAGCAAGTTTTTTTACACAGAGAGTCGTAGGACTGTGCAACGCGTTGCCAGGAGTGGTGTGGAGACAGGTACAATAGGGGCATTTAAGGGACTTTGACATGAGCATATAAATATACAAGGAATGGAGGGATACGTACCAAGGGCAGGCAGAAAGCATTAGTTTAATTTGGCATCATGTTCGGCACAACATCATGGGCCAAAGGACCTGTTCCTGTTCTGTACAGTTCTGTACTTTCTGTTCTATATTTTCTTCCAATGTATGAAATTTCTTGACTTCTGCAGTAGCTATGTGCGCAACAATTAAAGATTGAATTAAATTAGAAATAGATTTGATAACTGACACATCACACAGATGATCACTGTGTGATGATATTTATCAGTGTCTAAATGTTAACTGTGTTCATTTTAATGTGTGAACTGACCACAGTGATCAAATCCTATCTTCCCTTAGTCTAAATGTAGCATTCAAACTTTATTAATGAGCATATTAATCTGCCTAGTAGAAATTGTGATGGCAATAAAATTAGACTGGATTATATCTACATTAATCTCAAAAAGTAATATTCATAACGAATTGCTTTGCTTTTGTTAAACTGTTTAAAATTGTTGAAAGTACTTAATAATACTTCAGCTGTGCTCAGCTTTGAATTGATCTTATTATCCAATGGCTGCCCCTTTTTGACTAATGTACTTTGGTATTCAGTAACAGACAAACACCAGTTTAAACCTGATCATATGCTGTACAGATTTCGATATGATGATGGAACATACCATCCAAGAAGTCAAATTCAAGATGTTATCTCCAAGGTAATACCTCATTACGAAGCTACTGAGACTGCTTTAGTGCATTTTATACAGGTCAGAGACAGAAGGAGTTGAAGCTAAGGTAGAATTCATATGTGGTATTTCGTGAAGGTGAATATTATTTTTGGAAATGATTTAACTATAAGTTACTGCACTCAAATTGTATAATTTGGACTTAATGAAGAGACATAGCTCACATTTTGTTTAATTTTCTGGTTACCCATTACAGAAGAGAATCTCATCAGTGTGGAAACAGGCCATTCGGCCCAACAAGTCCATGTCAACCCTCCGAAGAGCATCCCACCCAGACCCATCCCCCTAACTCTGCATTTCCCATGGCTAACGCATCTAACCTACGCATCCCTGAACACTATGGGTAATTTAGCATGGCCAATCCACCTAACTTGCACATCTTTGGACTGTGGGAGGAAACCAGAGCACCCAGCAGAAACACATGCAGACACTGGGAGAACATGCAAACTCCATACATCCAGTCACTCAAGGGTGGAGTTGAACCCAGGTTCACTGGTGCTGTGAGGCAGCAGTGCTAATCACTGAGCCATTCTGTCAGCTTTCCTGCTCCTCTGATGCTGCTTGGCCTGCTGTGTTCATCCAGCTCTACACCTTGTTATCTCAGATTCTCCAGCATTGGCAGTTCCCACTATGTCTGAACCTTGAACATACTGTTAGTTTTCCAGCCAGATCAGCCCAATACACTTATCAAGCAATGGGCAGTGTTTTGTTGTTCCAATTGCTTTTAATACTGTATTCTGTAAGCTCCAGTGCTGAGCATTACTGAAAGGTATGTGTCTTGCTTCTCTCACTAAGTAGCACTCCGCTACTTTACTGGGTGATGTACTAGATCAATCAGTGACTGAAATTTAATGGGTAGATTGGGCAGCCGTATCAATCCTGTGTACTGATCCTCACATTTCAAAATAGTTTTAGTCATGGGTGGGGTTTGATCATTCGACTTGCAATAGATATGTGATTATTGAAAGAGAATGTTAAGTAAAGGGAACCAGGTGTCACCAGCATTCACACATCGCACTTTCATCTCTGAGTCTTGTATTTTATTATGACCAGGATGATAGGATTCAAGTCCGCACTATCTGCTGATTTTAATCGCTCTGCACTGAATAATTTGGCACTTTTTAATTGACCTTTTTTGTTGTGGTATGGGTGCCACAAAGTAACCATAATTTGACAATAAAGTGGAAACTGGCAGGAACAAAATCATGCTAATAAAATGGACATGAAGTCAAATTAATATTGGATATTGTTCTGGACATGGGGTGAAGGTGTACGTTGTTTGAGCAGGATGCATCCTTTATGATGTATAAAATACAAGTTCTTGCTGGTTTTTCAGCTGGTGATGTGTGACCTGGGGAAGTCAACTGATAGCCAAATAAATCAATGGATGGTGCTGTGGACATTCATGCAAGATGCAAGGATTTCCTCAATGTCCAAATTGAAATATTATTCCATTCCCCGTGTTGACATTTTCACATTGATTTGGAAAAGACTTCATGAAAGAGCTCTGAAAGCTTGTGATTTCAAATAAACCTGTTGGTCTATAACCTGGTGTCGTGTGACTTCTGATTTTGTCCACCCCAGTCCAACACCGGCATTTCCATGCCACTGCTACTTATCACTGGCTAATAACTGCCTGTTTTATGTGAATACATCTCATAAAAGATTGCAGATTTGTTTTGATGACATTCCTTTGAAATGCATGCATTACCTATCAGAAAACGTTGCAGTTTCCTCCATCTCAAACATGATGTCTGATTTAAAATTAACTTTCGATTTAAGAATAAAGTTACTGCCAAATAATTACATTCAGCATCTGCCAGCAGTATGATTCATTTTTTAATATAACTTTAATAGAATGTTTGATCTGTTTATTCATGTCATAAATGCTTTCATGTAAGCATATATTTTGAGCTAAATTGTATATATCATCAAAAGTAGATTATTTAAACATTTTTCCAATGTCATTATTTAAAATGACCAAGGAAAACTTATATGGTTCTAATATAAATACATTGCTATTGGAGAAATAACTTGTCGAATCACTCAGCTTTAAAAAGCAACTTAACTATTCTCAAATGCAGTAAACTTTCCCTTTGTCATTTCAACTTCTTTGGTTTGTAACCAACTGTAATCATTCTGCATTTTTTCTTGTTAAATGTCAGTGGATCAAACACTAAATTATTGCACATAACCCCGTCACTTTCTTCGTTGTCTAGATGTGGTTGATTTTTAACTGCACTTTAGATATGAGGAATGGGCATTAAATGCCCATCTGGCTGGTAATGGCAACATTCCATGAACAAACAAAAAAAATACTCAAGAATTTTACATTTGCAGGAGACAAGGGCTTACTGTAGTGAAAATTCTGGATGGTCTTAAGCTTTCCAGATATTTTTAAGCTAAAATATTCCAGAATAGATTTGGTAATTTTATCGCATTATTTGTAGGCACCTTCATTATAAATTTACTGTAGTTTAAACCTTCTAATTTCTTTTGTGTTTGTGAACGTGGATTAAAGAACTAGATGGCGTAAATGCATAATTAATTATCATCAAGCAGAATTAATGAGAGCACTTATTTTCGTCACTGAGTACTGTATATAGTATATGAGTTTGCTGGCCCCTTGATGCTAATTTGTAAGCAGGAAGTTGGTTAGCTCTGAAACACAAACAGAAATTGCTTGTGAAACTGAGCAGGTCTGGCTGCATCTGTGGAAAGAAAGCAGAGAAAATGTTTTGCTTCTGGTTGGTCTGTATCAGAAGTTGATTAGCTCATTTGGCTGGAAGGCTGGTACAATGCAGAGTGAAACCAACAGTGTGGGTTCAATCCCTACATTAACTGTAGAGGTTCCACTTTCTTAACTTCTCTTCTTCTCCTGTGGTGTGGTAGCCTTCAGGTTAAATTCATCACCAGCTGTGTGTGTGTCTCTCTAATGAGAGAGTAGGGCTATGGAGACTTTATTGTCTAATAAGTCCTTTAAAAGTAAACTGGATGGCTGGTTTAGAATCTGATTGCACTTTTAAGGATAACTGTTGTCTGGATTGCTAAAAAATACAGCTGCAATCATATTATTGTTACCAGTGAAATACAACTGATCAGAATTGAATAATTTAAGGAGTGATAACCTGGATATCCATTCGTTCTTTTTAGGAGTCACTGAGGATATCACAAAGCTATTAGACACCTTCTGACATAATTTGTGAATGGAATCCATAAAACTGTTTGCCGTACATGGTCTCTTGCAAATAGATTGAAGTACATATCTTCTTCTAAGTCATACATCATTGGACTCTTATTGTTGTTTCATTATTCCTGGGTCAAAACTCAGAAACTCAGTGCCTGGCAACATTCTGGCAGCACATTTGCCACATGGATTGCAATGGTGCACGCAGAAAGCTCACCACTACCTTCTCAAAGGCAAGTGAGGACAGGTAATAAATGCTAGTTTGTCAGTGCCAACCAAATCTCATTAATTACGAAATAGGATACCTGAGGATTTCGAGCAGTATGGGGAAGGCATGACAATGCAATCTTTCATTTGGCATTTGTTAATGAGATGAGAGTTTTCCTGACAAGACCAACTGGGATTTCCAATCCAGTTGGCTGGATGGCTGGTTTTGTAATGCAGAGTGGGTTCAATTCCTGCACTAGCTGAGGTTAGCATGAAGCATTCTCTTTTTCAACCTGCCCCCTCACCTGAGGCATGGTGACCCTCAAGTTAAACCACCAGCAGTCATTTCTCTCTAAGTGATGTACCGCAGTGATCAGTGCTGGGACCTTTGCTGTTTGTTATGCATATTAACAACTTGGATGTGAATGTAGAAGGTATAATTAGTAAGTTTACAGATGATACAAAAATTGGTGGTGTTGTTGTTAGTGAGGAGGATGGTCAGATATTGATCAGCTGGTAAACTGGGCAAAGCAATTGTAGATGCAATTTAATCCCGGTAAGTTCTAAGTGATTATTTTGGGAGGTCCAATAAGGAAAGGATTTACACAATGAATGGTAGGTCCAAAGGGAGTATTGAGAAACAAAGGGACATTGGTGCATAAGTCCATAGATCCCTGAAGGTGTAAGCACACGTAGATAAAGACGGTGAAGAAGGCATACAGGATGCTTGCCTTCATTAGCTGTGGAATAGAGGAACAATGAAGTCTTGTTACAACTTTATAAAACATTGGTTAGGCCACAAATTCAATACTGTGTGCAGTCCTGGTTGCCACACTATTGGAAGGATGTGACTGCACTGGAGAGGGTGCAGAGGAGATTCACCAGGATGTTGCCTGGGGTGGAAAGGCTCAGTTATGAGGAGAGACTGGATAGGCTGGGTTTGCTTTCCCTGGAGCAGAGAAGGCTGAGGGGGGATGCGATTGAGGTTTACAATATTTATGAGAGGCATGGACAGAGTAGATGGTGAGAATCTGTTCCTTATGGCAGACATGTCTAAGACCAGAGGGCATAATTTTAAAATGAGGAGTAAGTAATTTAGAGGACATCTGAGAAAAAATTTTTTCACCCAAAGGGCAGAAGAAATATGAAATGTGCTGCCTGAGAGGGTTGTAGAGACAGGTACTGTCACAACATTTAAGAAGCATCTGGTTGAGCACTTAAAATGCCAGGGCATAGTAGGCTGTGGGCTATGAACAGGTAAATGGGATTAATAGGTTTGGTGTTTGTCGGTCATCATAGACATGATGGGCCAAAGGGCTGTTTCAGTGCTATATGACTCTATCAGAACTTTCTATCTATTACTATTTAAGAAATACCTGGATTTTCCAATCAAACTGGATATTTCAATTCCTTCCAAATCATATTCCATTTAAGTTCTCACTCACTTAGCCTATATAGTCAGAAGTCACACGACACCAGGTTATAGTCCAACAGGTTTATTTGCAATCACAAGCTTTTGGAGCTCTGCTCCTTCGTCAGGTAAAGTTCTTCATTAGTGCTGACACAAGCGGATGCTATGGACAATTTAGCATGGCCAGTCCACCTAACCTGCACATCTTTGGGCTGTGGAAGGAAACCGGAGCACCCAGAGGAAATCCACACAGACACAGGAAGAAAATGCAAACTCCACACAGACAGTCACCCAAGGGTGGAATCAAACCAGGTCCCTGGCGCTGTGTGACAACAGTGCTAACCCCTGAGCTACCATGCCACTTTGTGTAGAAATTTTCTGAAGAAGGGTCCAGGCCCGAAATGTCAGCCTTCCTGCTCCTCTGATGCTGCTTGGCCTGCTGTGTTCATCCAGCTCTGCACCTTGTTATCTCTGGAATTATAACTGGGTGTTTTTTATTTTTAAATTGGGCAAAAGAAGCATGAGTGGGCTGGGTCAGGGCTCACACAGACTCAGGTAGGTTTGTAGTTTTGTTTTCAGTTAGTGAGAAGGTTTCTGCTGCTGCTGAGCTAACAGCTTGAGCTCTCAACTGCCAGAGTCTTAGAAGAGAGGCTTTCTCTTAGAAATAAAAACAGGCAGGCTGTGTTTTTTTCAGTGTATTATTCTGCTGGAGCAGAGAAAGGCAGCACATGAGAACCTTATCTGTTTTGCTGAATAGCCTTGCCAACTGTGTGTTGAAGGGATGCTGCCTATATTGAAACAGTTGATGATTAGTGGTTAAGTAATAGATCAACTTGTTAACTAGTTCAATGGAGTTAGTTTAACACTTTTTTTTGTATTTTAACCATGTCATGTGTTTTGATTAAAGCCTAGTGGTGAACCAATCGAATCACATCTGGAACACAGCACTTTCCTCTTGCCTTTAAATAAATATAAAAGTTAGGGTCTAGGCTATTTCCTTCTTATGTGTTTGTGGCTCCTGGTCTGGTCCATAACAGTGATCAGCAATGTATGCCCTTATGAAATCCAGCCTTGTGTTACAGAAATATGATCAGACCACAAATTAAAAGACCACAATAACAGCCTACAATAATGCGGAGGTGCCAGTGTTGGTTTGGGGTGGACAAGGTCAGAAGTCACATGACACCAGGTTATAGCCCAACAGGTTTATTTGAAATCACAAACTTTCGGAGCACTCCAAAAACTTGTGATTTCAAATAAACCTGTCGGACTATAGGTGCCATGTAACTTCTGATACAGTCCGCAATGACAGCGGAGAATAAGGAGTAGGATTGAAAAAAGCGATGCCTGCTCATTAGAATGACTAAATGATGTGTGATCCTTTGCTAGCAGAAGGGTTAATGTTTTCTTTAATTCCACAGGGTGTGAGACTTTATTGTCGGCTCCACAGTCTCTTTACTCCTGTGATTAAGTAAGTAAAATAAAGTATTATTTTAATTGACAGTGTTAACTTGAAGTGCATTATAAGCAAGGACAATGGAGAAGCTGCAGAGGAGATTTACCAGCTTGGGCAACAGAGTTTTAGTTGTGAAGAGAGATTCCATAGACTGGAATTGTTTTCCTTGGAACAGAGGAGACTGAGGAGGGACATGATGGAGAAGTGTATAGTTGAGGGGCATAGATAGGGTAGACTGAAAGAAACCAAGGCATACAAGGCTATAGGCCAATGGTTGGAAATAAAATTAAAATAGCTATATGGTTGCTTTTGATCTGTGCAGACTCAATAGGCTGAAGGGCCTTTTCCTATGCTTTAGACTTCTGTGAATCTAACAGAACCTGCTGCTTGCTGTGAGTTGATACACAATAGAAATCTCACTTATTTGCTGCCTTCTTTAGAACTAGTTCCCTGTGTCTTTTCCTTGTTGCATTTTACTTAATAATTCATACGAATAGTAAGTTTGAATTTTTATCTGGGTTAGCTTTTTAGTTCATGCCACATTAAACTTTGGCATTATATCTATCTGGAATTCTGTGAACATAAAGGCTTATTTTTGCAGTCATTGAATATAAGTATTTTCAACCTAAAACCTAATAAATGCAGAATATTCCCATTATATAAAAATAATAGATGTTTTAAACACTATAAAAATCATGTTGAACTAATTCTTCAGAAAACGGACATATTAAACCACTTTGTTTTGGATTTCTAGATTTTAGCCTTCCATCATGCTGGCCTGCTATTTACAATAACCAATGAAATTTCAACATTGAATTGATCACCTGGATGGGTGAAAAGTCAGATGAGACAAATAGTGAGCTCTGATTGTAGCATGGTAATTAACATAGTGAACTCGATAACTCTGGTAATTGATGGACAAGCTCTGTAAATCTTTTCTCAATAGCGACTGGATTGCCTTAAAGCTGTAACTGGTTATGATATCTCAAACAATCAGCATTTAAGAAATACCCCACATCTCTATTTAGAACATAGAATATAGAACATAGAACAGTACAGCACAGTACAGGCCCTTCGGCCCACGATGTTGTGCCAAACTTTTACCCTAAACCTAAGGTCTATCTAACCTCCATCGCTACCTTATACTATCATCCATATGCCTATCTAATAGCTGCTTAAATGCCCCTAATGAGGCCGACTCCACTACACTCTCTGGCAATGCATTCCACGCCCCGACCACTCTCTGAGTAAAGAACCTACCTCTGACGTCTCCCCGATATCTACCTCCTTTCACTTTAAAACTATGTCCCCTCGTAAAAGCTACCTCCACCCTAGGAAAATGTCTCTGGCTGTCTACTCTATCTATACCTCTGATCATTTTGTACACCTCTATAAAGTCACCTCTCATCCTTCGTCGTTCTAAAGAGAAAAGCCCTCGCTCTCTCAACCTTTCCTCGTAAGACCTTCCTTCCATTCCAGGCAACATCCTGGTAAATCTCCTCTGCACCTTTTCTAACGCTTCCACATCTTTCCTGTAATGAGGTGACCAGAATGGGACACAATACTCCAGATGTGGCCGACCCAGGCTTTTGTATAGCTATTTCTCCCAAGTCAGTTACCGCATGCTTATTCACATGATAGTTTGTACACCATGTTTTTGCCCACTCACTCAGCTAGTCCAAGTCTGTTTGGACTCTCTTTTCTTCTCCTCCCAACACACATTCCCACCAGTTTTGTGTCACATGCCAGTTTAATAATGTTACCTTTGGTCCCCATATTAAGAATATTGGTACAGATTGTGAATAACTGATGCACCAGCACTGTTCCTTGTGCTGAATGCTGAGTCACAATCTTCTAATCCAAGAATGATCCATTTATTCCTACTCTCTGTTTTTTCTTATTCAACCAATCCTCAATCCAAGATACTCATAGACTCATGGAAACCTAAAGCACAGAAAAAAAGCCTTTGGCCTCTGTACGAGTCAAAAACAGCCAACTATTCTCATCCCAATTTCCAGCGCTTGGCCCATATCCTTGTGTGTCTTGGCATTGCAAATGCACATCTAAATACTTATTAAATGTTCTGAAGGTTTCTGCTTCGACCACCCTTACAGGTGTTGAACTCTAGATTCCCATCACCCTCTGAGTGAAAAAGTTTCGCCTCTCATCACCTCTAAACCTTTTGCCTCTTACCTTTAAAGCTATGCCCCCAGTCATTGATCTCTCCAAGGGGAAAAATTCCTTCCTGTCAACCCTTCATAATTTTAGACATCTCAATCATATCCCCCCTCTGGTCAAAGGAAAACAACCCATGTCTCTCCAACCTCTCTTTGTAACTGAAACTCTCCAGACCAGGCAGAATCTTAGTAAATCTCCTCTGCTCCAGTGCTATCATGCCCTCCTATAATGTGGATTCCAGAACTGCACACGGACCTCTCGCTGTGGCCTAACCAATATTCCCTGCTCTTAAACTCTGTGCTTCAACTAATAAAAGCAAATATTCCATATGCCACCTTAACCACTTTATCCATCTGACCTGATAGCTGAAGGGATCAGGTACAAACACGTCAAAATCCCTCTGATCTTCGAGATTCCCAAACTCCTACCATTCATCATGTATTCCCTTGCCAAATGTATCACCTCAAACTTCTCCAGATTGCATTCCCCTTGCCACTGATCAGCCCGTGTGACCAGCCTGGCTGAATTCTCCTGTAATCTAAGGCTATCCTCCTTGACATTTACCATTCCACCAATTTTCCTATTGTCATGAACTTACTGCTCAATTGTGCTACATTCAAGCCTAATTTGCTTATATAAACCACCAACAGTAAGGGCCCCAACATTGACCCTCTGTAAGACCCCACTGAATACACTTGCAGTTGGAAAAATACCCCTAATCATCACTTTCTTCCTCCTGCCACTCAGCCTGTTGTGGGTCCAATTTGCCACATTTCCTTGGATCCACAGGCTCTTACCTTTGCTGTCAGTCTCCCTTAAGGGACCTTATCAAAATCCAAACTGAAGTCCAAGGAGATGATATTGGAAGCATTGCCATGAACTACATACCTGGTCACCTTTTCAGAAATTTGAATTAATTTGGTCAGATATGATCTCCCCTTAACAAAACCATGCAGACTGTTCTTGATTCATCCCTGCCTCTCAAACACAGATTAATTCTGTCCATCAGAATTACTTCGAATTGTATCCCCAATACCAAGGTTAGACTGACCAGCCTGTACTTTCCTGACTTATCCACTGCTCCCTTTTTGAACCACATTTGTTGTCTTCAAGTCATCTGGCACCTCTCCTATAGCCAGAGTGGAACTGAAATTTTTTGCAAGTGCCCCTGTTATTTCCTCCCTTCCCCTTCCTTACTCAACAACCTGAGATCCATCTCATCCAGCCCTGGAGATTTACCTACTTTTAAGCCTGCCAGACCACTCAGAGCCTCCTTTGCTATGCTAATTTCTTTAGTTGTATCACAGACCTTGATCCTGACTGCTATGCCCATATGCTATCTCACGAGTGAACACTGACATAAAGTATTCATTTAGAAATCTACCTATATCTTCAGGCTCCAAGTACAAATTACCACTGTTCCTCTTAATAAACGTTACTTTTTCCCTCATTATCCTACCTTATTATTGCATATTGCCCGTTATCCAATGTGCTGTAGTTTTTTTTTATAAACTTCCTGTGTTGGATCATACTGAAAGACTGAGAATCTAACCACATGCAATAGCCTGTTGTAAACATGAGCTCCCTTTCATGAAGAAGATGGGAGGTGGTGGCACAGTAGTAATGTCATTGGGCTGGTAATCTGGACCCCTAGGCTAATGTTCTTTGGAAATTTGTCCAAATCTTCATAGAATCATAGAAACATAGAATCCCTACAGTGTGGAAACAGACCGTTCGGCCTAACAAGTCTGCACTGACTCACCAAAGAGCATCCCACCCAGACTCACCCCCCTCCCCTATCCCTGCAGTTCCCATGGCTAATCCACCTAAACCACACATCCCTGGATACTATGGACAATTTAGCATGGCCAATCCACTTAACCTGCACACCTTTGGACTGTGGGAGGAAACCGGAGCACCCAGAGGAAACCCACGCAAACACGGGGAGAATGTGCAAACTCAAAGAAAACATGGCACCTAGGAGCTTTTGGATTCAACAAAAATCTGGAATTTGTTTAAACAAAAAATCTGATCTAATGGCAACCACGTGACCTTTGTCAATTGTTTTAAAAACTCAGCCGCGTCATTAAAATCCTCTAAGGAAGGAAATTTGCCATCCTTACCTGATCTGGCTGACATCTGACTCCTGACGCACAGCCACATAGTTGACTAAACTGGCCTCTGGACAACTAGGGATGGACAATAATGCCGGCCTTGCCTGTAATGACTACATCCTGTGAAAGAACTCAAACCTTCCATACCCAGCAACATTCTGGTAAACCTGAACCCTCTCCAGCATGATAATATCCTTCCTATAACTGGGCAACCAGAACTGGACAAAATATTTCCAGAAGAGACCTTACCAATGTCTTGTACAACCTCAACATGACTTCCCAACTCCTATACTCAAAGAACTGAGCAATGAAGGCAAACATAGATAGACTATCGATGAGTCCTTTCTCATTGCGTGATACTAGATCTAAAATTATCTGTTACCTAGTTTGATACTCAGCATATTGTTCTAGAAAATCACCTTGTAGGTGTTCTAGGAATCCATCTGCTACGGCATTGATGTTCATTAGATTTTACCAGTCTATATGTGGATCGATGAAAAGGTGATGGTATATTGGTATTGTTGCAGGGCGAATAATCTGGGGACCTGGGTTGAAAGTCTATTGATAATTGAATTTGTCAGTCGTAGTGTCCCTACCTCTGAACTGGGAGTTCCAGGTTCAAGCCCCACCTGCTCCAGAAGTGTCTAATAGTGTCTGTAAACAGGTTGACTAAAAAAATCGATATGTGTATTGAAGTTTTACATAGTTACTGCGTTGCTGTATCTCAAGATGGAGACACATGTTCGTCTGAGTTTTTTGCAGAGGTGATACCACGAAATTAGGAGATTCCACTGCATATTCTATCTGATATATTTGGAAAGTCTTTTTTTCAGGCTACATTTATTCGACGGAAATGTGTAATTTCTGGAGCACATTCTATGTTTGGTTTTCATTTATAACATACTGTTCGCTGATACAAATTTTCGTATCTAGGGATAAAGACTATCACCTAAGAAGCTACAAGTCAGTGGTCATGGCAAACAAGCTGACCGATTGGTTAATTGCACAGGTAATGTAACAAAAAACATTTTGTTTAACTCCGTTAATAGGATTAATCTGATTGTAAGATTTGAACCATCTTAGATAAGGACTTTTGCCTCTTTAGTCGGAAATACAGTAGAAGTATAATTTAAAGATGCATAGTTGAGTATGAACCAAAGTGTGTTTTTCTGCATAAATCAAGTCTTAAAAAGAATGTGAGCAAATTCACAAAGCTGAAATCATTTATCGTATTGAGACCACAAAACCATGTTTTAGTGATTTCCGATCCAGATTAGTCTATTGTTTAGTCAGGATGTTTGCTTCTGCAGTCAAAGGGAATGGGATCAGAAGAAAAAAAGAGAGTAAATATTAGTTATGATGAGTCAGTGAATTGAGGAATATGGAATAGATGCGTGAGGCAGGAGGCTTAATGTGTTACATCTGGAATGAGACATGGTGCTGACACCAACATAGTTTCAGGCCTTTGGAATAATGCATTGAGAATAGAAAATTGCAATGTTCAGTAAGAGAAGTGAATTTTTTATACAAGGTGATTATAGTCTCTTTGGGAACCAGTTAAGTACTGCTTTAAGTAAGTCATCTGTTACACCATAGTTAAGAAATTTATTTAAAAACACTAAAATATATTGATATGGCCTTTGCAAATGATAAAATCATAATGCAAACATAATAAGTTTTACCAAGTCCTATTCTTCATTTTGTAGTTGAATCTTTAAGATTTTCAGTTGAATATTTAACCAAGGAGCTAAGCTCCCTGGAAGCTGATTATAAAGCCACCTTGTTGACATCTCTAGAGCTGACTCTCACACTTTGAGAGATGGAACGTATCACAGGTGATTGAATATTAAATCATGTTATCAGAGATTGTACCGTCCATTCACTAAACTGCAATTAATGGTCAATATTTATGGTTTAATTTATAAAAATTTGATACTTTTAAGAAGCTAATGTTCTTCACGAAATTTCGAGCAGTGAGTCTTTTTTAGTCAGAACATATATTTTTCTATCAAACTTTTTTCACTCTGATGAAATTTTGCATTGAGTAAGGTGATATAGTGGAAAATAAGCATTTTTTTTCCACTTTGGGCACCCACCCACAGGCACTGTCAAGTTAGCATGGAGCAGATGCAGAAATTATGCTAACAAGCGCAAGGAATTCTGGAGAAACTCAACAGGTCTGGAAGCATCTGTGGAGAGAGAAACATAGTTAACATTTCGGGTCTGTTATGACTCTACTTCCAGACCTGCTGATTTCTCCCCCATTCTCTGTGTTTGTTTCACATTTTCAGCATTCAGAGTAATTTGCTTTTATTAAAGTTATGCTTATGTGTCTTAATCTCATCATTTAGAGGAACAACCCCAATTGCACCTTCCTAAATTTACTTCTGGTTCCGTCCATTTTCATAATGTCATAGAGTCTTTCAGCACGGAAACAGACCCTTTGGCCCAATCAGCCCGTGCCAACCATAATCCCAATATAAACTAGTCCAATGTGCCTGCACTTGGCCCAAATCCCTCCAAACATTTCATATTCAAGTACTTATTCAAATGTGTTTTAAACATTGTAATTGATGAAGTGGTGGATGCAGGTGTAATTACAATGTTTAGAAGGCATTTGGATGCATATCTGAATAGGAAAGGTTTGGTTATATGGGCCAGGAGCAAGCAGGTGGGGCTAGTTTAGCTTGGGATTATGTTTGGCATGTACTGGTTGGACTGAAGGGTATGTGCTGTATGACTGTATGACTCTATGACTCTATAAGGCTATCCCTTAACCTCCTACGTGCCAGGGAAAAAGTCCTAGCCTATCCAGGCTGTCTTTATTAACTCAAGCCCTCCATTCTCAGCAACATCCTGGTAAATCTCTTGTGAATCCTCTCCAGCTTAATAATATCCTTCCTATAATGGGACGACCAGAACTGGACACAGTGCTCCCTAAGAGGCCTCAGTAATGTCCTGAACAATCTCAGCATGATGTCCCAACTCCTATACTCAAAAGGCCTCGCAAAGTGCAATTGCTATGAGATCCATTTCTGTTTTTGTTTGCAAATTCTTCCCTTTGTATTTCTAAAGTGCCACTCACCTAAATTACTTGCCTAATAATTCTTTATTGGAAATTGAACTGTGGAGGCTGTGACAGCTTTGTGTGATTAGGATTCGCTAATAAATCATTCGGGGTAGGGTTGTTCTGTTCCTCTATTTTTCCCATTAGTAGTGTCAAGTTATTGAAACAACTTGTGATTTTTGCAATATGTTAGGCTGACATTACATAGTATAAACCAGGTGAGGGATCTGTGAAAGTTCAGGAGTTCATTAAGTGCTTTCTGAGCCAAACATTACAGCAGCAATAAGATTGGCAATTGCTCACTAGTTTGTGCTAAATCTGGGCAATCATGTGCTGTGGAGCATTGTCCATTGGGAATTAGGCTGAAAGTTTCTAAACTCATCTGGGACCAATAACCCGTCGGGAAATGGACTTTCACCTGATCAGTCTAGATTGGATTCAAACTAGAAAGTGAAATGACAGAGGAACAAAATCACCTCACTAAAAAAATCAGTCCTTTTGAAAAGATGCTGGTACGTTTGTTACTGACCATTTTCTGCAAAGTTTTAAAATAAATATCTTACAATATGCTAGTTTCCTGATTAAATGCTTTTTATTTTTATACAAAAAAATCTGATGACATCAAAGGATGAAAGCTGATAAATGAATTATTGTTTAGTAGGGTAATTTCTTGATCCTGTGCTGCCAGTAAGGATATGATGAACCATTAATCTTGTCTTTTCTTGATCTGTCTCCAGTCTTTTACACAATTAATCACAATATCCTCCTCCAGTGCCTCTCCACTGTCATCTGGCTGGGTGGAATAGCCCTCACCTGGTTTAATTCTTATTTATCTAGTTGTAGGCACAGAATCACTTGCTATGATTCCTGTGCCATTAATTGTGGACTCCTCCAGGTTTATATCCTCCTGTTTCTTATTTACATGCCACCCTTGACAACATCACACAAAAACATGTCTGACATCCAGCTTTGTCTCACTGCTCCATTCTTTCTTTTCCACTGCAGTTGTGTCTAAATTGTCAGACTGTTTGTCTGATATCCAGTACTGCATCAGTAGAAATCTTTCCCAAATAAACTTTAGTAATATCAAAGCTGTTCTCTTTGGCACCTCAACAAATAGCATTCCTGAGCCATTAACTCTATTCCTCTCCATAACAACTGTCCAAACCAGATTGTTGGCAAATGTAATGATGCATTTCATCTGAGATGAGCATCAGACCACATGTCCATAATGTCCTTTATTACCCCACTTCCTTCCCCAGCCTGAGTCTGCCTCTACCTCAGCTAATCTGTTGTTGGAAACTTTGTTAATGTCTTCATTAATTCAGACTTGGCTTTTCCAATTTTGCTCTGGTTGGGATCCAGCCCCCATAATACTAAACGCATCCAAAACTCTCCGACCTGTGTCTGAACTTTGTAGCAGGTCCCATTTAGCCATAATGTTTGAGCAGATCCTTGCTGTTAAAATTCTCATCCTTGTTCTGCAATCTCCAAATTCCCCCTACCTCTAACCAACTCTAGCCTTACAAATCTCCAAGATATCCTGATGCTCTAATTCTGATCCTTTACACAGTCCTGATTTTAAATGGTTGCTGAGGCATTTGCTCTGGAATTCCATCCCAAAACATTTCTACCTGTCAGAGACACTTCTTAAAATACCTCATTGACCAAAGTTTTGGTTGTCTGCCTTAGCATCTCCTTCTGTGGCCCGGTGCCAAATTTTGTTTGTTAATGCTCATATGTAGTATCTTGGGAAATATTATTATGTTGAAGGTATTCTATAAATACAAGCCACTATGGCAGAGAATCAGGATTACAACACAACCGTAACATTTCTCAATCCTATGTTACCCTTGAATAAGGCTTTATCTGCTGGCAATGCAAGATTATGGAATTACTCCATTTGTTACATTAAGGTGTTTCAAAATGTTTCAATTTGTTTGACTTTATGAACAAGATACTGAAAGAACTCAAACAGGAATTGGTAGTTTCCGTGTTATTAGAACATGCAATGTAGAATGTCTGTTACTTTGTCACCAGGGGGACTGTAGAACCAGAGAGGAAGCAATAATCCTGGGTGTGGAACTTTGTGACAATGGTTTTATGCACCACGGTAAGGTTAAATTCAGTGCATTATTCAAACATCCTTCTGACTTCAGTTCTTCTCAGAACAGTGAAATGGTAAAAAATTATGTTGTTGAACTTCGTTAGTTAGTTGCTGTGATTTCAAAAAATTAAGTTGCTTTTTCTGTTGTGAATTGTAATTTTACATGCACGGTATTTCAAAGTCCCGTGTTTTTGTGACCATCTCTCCAAATAATTCACAATTATCTAAAGTTACTGTGGTAAAAGACAGTAGGCATTCTTTAGTCAAGAAATATCAATGACTTTATTGTTTAACTTTATTTGAGATAAATGAAGGCTAACTGTTGCCATGGATATTGCACTTTGAATTATATCTGAGATTTATCCAGGCCTTTACATCTTGTTTTTCCTTATAGTACTGGAAAAGAGTGAATTTAAGGATGAACCCCTTTTATTTCGTTTTTTTGCTGATGAGGAAACAGAAGGCTCGAATTTAAGGCAGAGGCACCTGCGACATGACTTGAAAATTGTTGAAAATGTCATAGCTAAATCGTTGCTGGTAAGTGGTATTGATGCATGGGAGATGATTTTAATTGTGGGGTAGTTGGATGTAACAGAAACAATAGTTATTGTATGTAACTTTAAGAAAATCTCTGCTTTCTCGGAAGGATACTTTATATATCATTGTAAACTCCTTAGTCTCAGTACTCAAAATATTTGTCAGTGGATTTCTGAAGAGCGTTCAGAGAGGAAATCACAGTCAATCTGATGGCTGTGCATTTACTGTAACTTTTTAAAATTGATTACACTATATTAACTTCAGTGCATATTGATAGAAAATCAGGATGATTTAATTAATTTCAGAAAATACAAGAGAAACATTTTGAAATGTCAATGAGTTTGAATGTCGTGGATATTGCCTCCTCGCCATCCTTGCCTTCCTCCAGTATATGCAAAGGGTTAGTCCTAGCTAATGACTAGCAATTGGACCTGGTGCAGAATGTTCGCTGCAGGAATTCTGAGGAGGGTCTGCAACAGTCAGACTAATTTACTCTTTTTTTCCCCTAATCATTCTGTTCTGAGATGTTATTACCCACCTCTGGATTTGCACCCAGGACTCCTGGTCCAGAGGTAGAGTCTGCTGCACCACAAGACTCTTTGGTTTTATATTTGCCTGTTTTATCCATTATTGAATGCAACTGTTAGACTTTAAGTTCTGAACTACCATTTTCTTTGCTAAGCAAACAAAAAATAATGATCAGCACCACTACTGTCTCTTGTCTCACTACTCCACATCTGTGATCACTCCAGGTTGAAGAACACATCCTAATTTGTGGGTACAGTGTTATTTGTATCCTTCCGGAGACTGTAAGCAGATCATTGATATCTACCCCAGTAGGAATTGATTCAGTCCATAGTGCTAAGCTGGAGCAGTGCCTTGTCACTTTTCCTAATGTCTGTCCAGTGTTAAACAAGTCCAAAAAATCATTATATTTAAGGTCTTTGCCTTTCATTCTGATGTTGGACAAAGAAAGCAATCCACTCTGAGATTGGGAAACTTTCCTTAGGGAAGATTTTGGGTCTTCAGTTGACCCCTGGAGATGGATCAGCTTCTGGTAGAAATGAAAACGGTGTCCCAGCTCAGGTGCTTTGAGTGTCAGACTATTAGCACTGTCCTGTAATGTAAATGATTATCTTGCTATGCTGTAGTTAACAACTAAATTGCAGCATGGCATTTTAAAATCAAAGCAATTTAGAGATATTCAGTTGTAATTGAAATTTTTTCATGTCTTTTCTACATTTCCTTTACTAAATAGATCCTCTATTGTAAAATTTCAGTCCTTCAACAAAGTGATCAAAAAGTGCTAACAAAACAATAGTAATTATAATTATAAAGCATTGATTGTGTGAAGAGTTCGGAGATGTTTTGACAATGTAGTATGACATGCAGCCAATGTAAAAACACTTTAAAAGATGGTATTACTGCATCTGTACAGTTAGCTTTGGGGAAACCTTTGAATTTTCTGCAGCCTGGAAAACCTGTTTAGTGTAAGATCTGGACTTGAAGAAATAATTGTTTGAAACCTTTGCTTGCATTAGTGACCCACAGAGATAAACATGCATCTGTTAGACTGAGTCTGTGAGTTCTCTTCGAAATTTCTGCCTTCAAGGAAGGTAAGAAATTCTGATGTTTAAACATGAATTTCTCTAAGGAGGTTTCTTGTTTAGCTTAGATAACAAACTGTGGAACTGGATGAACCTGTTATCTCAGACTCCAGCATCGGCAGTTCCTATTATCTCTTGTTTACTTTATTTTTTGTTGGAAGAGAAAGGAAACAGGAAGGAGGGGCAAGTGAGGAAATTACCTAAGGAAGATGCAGGCCACTGAGAGATATTCCTGATAAAGAGTTGATAGATCATGCAGATTATATCCAGATCTGAGTGAGAAGGTAGATTTTTTAGATTTTAGATTTTATTGTCACATGTACTCAAGTACAGAGTACAGGAGTACAGTGAAAAGTGTATAATGTCACCACACATGGCGCCACCTTCGGTACCAAGGTACCCAGGTTCAAAAAAACTTAGGTACAAAGTAGTAAGAGAAATGAGAGTTAAAAAGTTAAGCATTAGTAGAAAAATAAAGAAATAAGTAATAGTTTACATTAAAGTCTTTCGTAGTTTAAACTAGGAAAATAAAGGAATAAGTTAAAAGTTCAACAGTCTTCGATGAGCACTCCATTTACCTCACTCTCCAGGGAGACGTCAGGTGTCTGTTCTCGACACCACTGCCGCAGATACCATCGCTGCTGCTGGAATTGCTGTCTCTCTGATCTCTCCCGGTACCTCACAAACATGGCTAGGCAGGATCCACTTGCACGCCAAACCGAGATGCCACCATGAGCCACCAAGAGCTGACATACCGCCAAAAGACCAGGCTGAGAGCCGCCAAGAGACCAGGCCAAGACCTGCCGTGGGGGAGATGAACACCAAGAGGGGAAAAACACCAAAAAGAGGGATAAAAAGAGGACAAAAGGGGAAAGAAAGAGAAGGAAATGAAAAATAACAGAAGGAGCAGAGGAGCTCCATTTGGAGCATCCTACTGTGCTGCCATCTTGACTGTACAAATGAGCTCTATAAGTCAGGAGTCAAAATAATTCTTTGGATGGCTACTCTTGAGATTTTCTCAAGGGCGACTCTTTTTGGTTTTCATCGGCACCTTTCTCATTTTCACTCACTCCTTCATTAAGTGGTATCTTTATTTGCATCGACGCGTGGAGTATTTGAATTCATTCAGAAGCAGAATAAGAAGAATTCACCAGTGTTGTCAATCTTCATCCCTGCTTCATTAAAAATGACGCTACAGGACACAAGAAAAGCATTAATTTCTTAGACACCACAGTAATTAGTTAGATTGGTGACGAGCATAAGTTAACAATAATAGCCTTTCTTGCATAACTGACACCACCTTTAAACATTAAAAGCAAACACCAGAAACCCACTTTCTGCAGACTGCTGAGTTAAATGATTGCATGTTCGAATCTAAAAGAGTCACTGCATCTCAAGTAATTCACGAGATGTGAGACGCTTAGAAATTATAAATCTTTATGAAATCAATATTCAATACTCAATGAAATTCAATACTGAATTATAGAATCAATACAGTGTTCTTGGCAATAGCATCCACCAAACCTCTTGCAAGGTGTAAAACTGCTCTCTGTGCAGTTCACTTCCCCATTTTGCTATTGCTGAAAAACCTTAGACCATTGTGCCCAATGTTTTTAAAATGTTTTAGCATGATGAATAATTGTATAGATACAACTGGGAAGCAATGGCCAAGTGGTTTTATCTCTAAATTATTAATCCAGAAACTCAGCTAATGTTCTATCTTATCCTACCTTCTCCTCTATCCATTTTCTATCTGCCTCCCCCTCTCTCCCTATTTATTTCAGAACCCCCTTCCCCTCCCCCATTTCTGAAGAAGGGTCTAGGCCCGAAACGTCAGCTTTCCTGCTCCTATGATGCTGCTTGGCCTGCTGTGTTCATCCAGCTCTATACCTTGTTATCTCAGATTCTCCAACGTCTGCAGTTCCTACTATCTCTAATGTTCTCGGGACTTCGGTTTGAATGCTGCCACGGCAGATGGTGGAATTTGAATTTTTTACAAAAATTGGGAATTAAGAATCTACTGATGACCATTGTTGGAAAACCCAATCTGTTTCAGTAATGGCTTTCAGGGAAGGAAATCTGCCATCCTCACCTGGCCTGGTCTACATGTGACTGCAGACCCACAGCAATGTGGTTGACTCTCAGTGGCCTTTTGAAATGTCCCAGCAAGCCATTCAGTTATATTGATTGCTACATAGTCTCTTCAACGGCAACTAGGAATAGGCAATAAATGCTGGCCAGCCAGTGACACCCACATCCCACAAATGAATAGAAAAAAAGCAAATAACATGTGGAATACATTTAAATTAAATTTAGATTTTCTACTAGAGCATGTTAAAATAGATTTAAATGTGATTACAGTGACATGATGTGCATGCATAATTATTTTAACAATTGGTAAAATAATTCGTTCAACGTACCATATTTAGGAAAACAATATATGTGATCCATTGGTGTCAGGCAATAAAAATTTTTAATTATCTAATAAATTACTGTAACTATGGTCGTCTTAATTATGGCTTCTTATGGTTCTTAGATCAAAGCTCAAGATAGAAGCTATGGTTTTACCTTAGAGGAGAAAAACAAGCTTCCTATTGTGAAATCTGTGGAGAAGGGATCTTATGCTGAGGTAACATGCAATCGATAACTTTCTTTAACACTGTGCTTGGGGTTGCCAAATAAAATTCTGAATTGCTATAATTTAGCAAAAACTATTGCAAAGTATTTAAACTTGCAGAACTGTAGCAATGCTTAATCACTTGTGCATAAAACACAGAAAGCTAGCACACAGGGGCAGCAGGTAATCAGGAAGGCTAATGAAATGTTGGCCCTTATTTCAAGGGGGTTGGATTATAAGAGTAGCAAAGTCTTACTGCAACTGTACAAGGTGTTGGTGAGACCACATCTGGAGCACTGCTAGCAGTTTTATTTCCTTATTTAAGGAAATGTATTATTTCATTGGAGGCAGTTCAGAGAAGATTCACTAGGATGATCTCCAGTATGTCTTATGAAGAAAGGCTAAACAGATTGGGACTCTACTCACTGGAATTTAGAAGAATGAGAGTGATCTCACTGAAATATTTGGGATTCTTGAACAGCTTGACCGAGTAACTGCTGAGAGGATGCTTCCCCCCATGGGAGATCCTAGGACCAGAGGGCATAATCTCAGAATGACAGGGTGCCAATTTATTCTCTGTGAGGGTTTTGAGTCTATGGGGGAGCAGAGTGCATGTGCATACTTAAAGCTGAGATAGATAGATTCTTGATCAGAATCAAGCATTACGCAGCAAAGGCAGGAAAGTGGACGTGAGAAATATCAGAACAGCCATGATCCTATTGAATGATGGAGCAGACTCAAGGGGCCGAATGGCCTATTCCTGTTCCCATTTCTTATGGCCTTATGGTCTTACAAAGGATTTGTACCTTTCTCTATTAATAGCCACAAATGTTATAATGCTGAACTGATCTGGAAATTGAGTTTCAGTGCTGCCACCCATTGAAACTTCAATCCTGTATAGGATATTAAACAATTTTATGGTTCGGTTGCTCAGATTTTTTTGTTGTCCAACATGTTGATCTCCGGTGGCATTGCAAATGGGAAGTGAAGACCAAAAGTATATTCATGTGAAGTACATTATTAAAGGGAAGGGAGCAGCAATGTGATGTGGGATAAGAAAATGAGGAAGGAAGGAGGAGGCATTAATAGGGAAGGATGAGGGGATGCAGGGGGCTGTGCATGTCAGGAGGAGAATGGCAGACAGCCAGAAGGGACATGTAAGTAAAAGAAGATGGAAATAACTATATATTGGCTTTAGGAGCTGTAGATCGGTATTCTAGATAGGTACCATGCTGTACTGCTAACAAAGTTTGGTATTATTCCACTTAACTATCAATATCTTTTAATACTTTGGCAGTCTATTGGGATTTATGGTGACATTTTACTGAGCTTGTCTCAAATACTGCTTTAATGTGGTTGATGTAGAAATTCACAGGGAAGTGCTTCAGGAAAAATGAGGATGCAGGCATGGGACAGGTGGAATTGGAGCTTCTTTGCATTCTGTGTTATAGAATTTGTACCTTTTACTTGCCTTTATTCAGTCTCTGTCTGGGCAAGGAAGTTTCCTGACTGTCAGTGCCTTGGAAGGCTGTATTCTCCCAAAAGGTTACTGGGGAGTCCATTCCACCAGGGGACCGTATGCAATTCCAATGCAATTTACTGTCTGAGTTCACTTACATATGTTAGTCTTCTGAACTTTGGGTGGAGGCTTTCCCCACACTGAGTTCAGGAAAGTCTGGATGAAAATCACAATGGGTTGCTCTCTGGAGGTTCGGTTTTGCAAGAGCTGGGCAGAAGGATAGAAGTGGATGACCCAGCTACTGAGCATACTGTTGGAAGCAAAAGCATGAAAAGAATGTGCAGACTTAATTTAAAAAGATACTCAGAAAATGAAAAAAAATTCCTGTGTTAAGAGGAATATCCTATACTGTAACTGATTTTTAGAAAAAAAATGGAGACTTCCAATATGGCAAGTGTAGATTTTTCAGGTAAGTTTCATTCACTGCAGGATGGTGTTTAACAAATGAATGTCTACACTCGTGGAAGTACTCATAACCAGACTTTAAATGAACCTTTTCAATCTGATATCACTGAACATATTCCATTGTTTATGTAACAGTTCTTAGTTTGTGTATAAATCATCTGTGCTTTACATTTTGTGTGACCTCATTGCAGATGGCAGGTCTAGAGGTTGGGAAGAAAATATTTGCTATCAATGGAGATGTGGTTTTCCTCCGACCCTTTAAGGAAGTCGAATGTTTCCTGCAGCAGTGCTTCAGTAGCAAGAGGCCTCTTCGGGTGCTTCTGAGCACGAAACCACGAGAGTAAGTGATGTGGCGTATAAGCATTTAATGATTGAATTGCCACCCCAAAAACTAATTTTTGGCTTTCTTTGTGGGAGAATTGGTCCAGGAGGCTGCTGTGCTATCATCAGCACCAGGTCTCCGCAAGTAAAATGCTATCCATCCAATTCAAATAACAATTCAATAACAGAAGAGAATATTTTTAAAACTCAGCACGCATTGGTGTGTTTCCAGTTCAGAATGAGTGGCTTGATGCTGTTTCTCAGATTAGTGTCAGATTCCAGCAGTTCCTGCTGTTCAGCTGAAAGTATAAAACTTCAACGTACCGAGGATATGTTTGATTTAAGCGTTATCGTCATGTGTACTCAATTATGGAAGTACAGGAGTGCAGTGAAAAGTTTACAATGTCACCATACATCTTGGGTTCAAAAGTACCCAGGTACAAAATTTAGGTACAAGATGTAACATAGAGAAACAAAGTTAAAAGTAAAACATTATCGTTTTTCTTAGTATAAGTAGAAAAATGAAGAAATAAAGTTGAAAGTTAACATTACAGTCCTTCCTGGTATTAAGTGGAAAAATAAAGGAATGAAGGTAACAGTTCAACAGAAGTTCTTTCTTAATTGAAGATACCGTGAACTGCAGATGCTGGAGTCAGAGCTAACACAGTGTGGAGCTCTGAGGAAGGATCCCGACCCTAAACGTCGACTTTCCTGCTCCTCTGATGCTGCCTGACGTGCTGTGTTCCTCCAGCTCCACACTGTGTTGACTTCTTTCTTAATTGCACTTCGTGTAAGGCCTTGGTCTCCTCCGCCTTGGCCTGCTCGCTGGGAAACCTGAGGCTTCCCGCTTCCGATGCTGCAGATGCCTGGGGATTTCTCTCACTGACACGCCAGGCTTGTTGTAACCACATTGGGCTTGGGGTCATGGCTGCTTCCCCATATCGGGCCTCCATCCGACACTGCTCCAGGCCCACAGCCCCTTCCCCACACCGGGCCTCCATC